TCACGACGGGAGGTTGTCCGCCATCTTCGGCCTTCGGGGGCCCTCCACGGGCACGGGATCGTCCAACAACGACTCTGGATGAGAAGCCATTCCTGGGGAAACGATCCGGACCTCGGGGGCCCGCGCCTTCAAACAAATCATGCCGTTGGGTGTCTGGGTACGCTACCCTGGAGCCCCAAATGGCCCTGGCTTGGGCCGTCGTCGTCGTCCTGGTCCTCCGTCGTCCTCCTCCTCTTCCTCCTCCTCCACCGTCCGTTTACGGGAGGGGGGGAGGAGTGGGTCCCCCAGATCTCCGACGACGCGATTCTTTCAGCCGGCGTTTTGTATTCTGTTCAGGCCCATCGGGGGCCGCTTCGGGCTCCATGAGAGCGCTAACCACATCCCTGTCTGGGAACATCGGCCAGCAACAACGCCGGCCACATTTAGTACTTTTGCAGCAACGCCGGCCACATCTTCGCTTCAGTATTTTGCTGCTGCTCCGTGCGCGCAATTCCCACAAACCTCGTTGGAGAATGGTGCCTTGGCCTGAAGCCAGCCACCTCCCTGTCCAGATTCGCTGCTACCGCCCCAGCGCAGCCCGTCTCCCGCAATAGGAGTGGCACTCTCGCCTGAGCGTCGGCCGCATCCGCCTACTGCGATCGTCACCTCCCGCGCGAGACAATTGACGACCGCAAATGCCTCCCGCTCGTGCTGGGCGATTGCTGTGCCTGGCGTCAGGTTTGGCTCACGCCCGCCAGGTCCGTTACCAGTGGGGACTGCGTCACATTAGCTTCCCCAGAGTCAGGTCAAGGGGTGGGCAGTAGCAACATTGCAGCTGCGTCAGCATGTTCACCGCAGCGGCCATGAGCATCGTAGGTGCAAGGATACAAAGTAGAAGGCGAAGCGCAGCGAGCATCAAATCTGGTATAAATAAATGAATAGCAACCGCGAGAGAGAGAGAGAGAGAGAAGGAACGACAGTGGAGTGGAGTGGACGCCATCACGGGGTGATTTCCCTAACTAGTTACCTCAGACCCTTGCTGCCTGCTGAGCTCGGGTCATGCAGAGAAGGAGAGAGAGAGAGAGGGAGAGGGAGCGAGGAAAAGAGATGTATGCATATATATATATATATATATATATATATCTATATATGTATGTATGTGTGTATATATGTATATAGATAGAGAGAGAGAGAGAGAGAGAGAGAGAGAGAGATTGAGAGAGAGTGAGGGACCGAGATAGAGGGAGAACGAGAGAGAGAGAGAGAGAGAGAGAATTAGCCTGGCGAAAGACCCAACCATATGCAGTTGTGGGTATCGCATTCGGGGAAGCCCCCTATGGGGCCACGAAACGCTGTACTGGGTGGGGGGGGGGACGCATGCGAACTGCGCCACTGGGACCTTCGGTGGAGCTCTCTATGGGGCCACGAAACGCTGTACTGGGTGTGGGGAGGACGCATGCGAACTGCGCCACTGGGACCTTCGGTGGAGCTCCCTATGGGGCCACGAAACGCAGTACTGGACGCATGCGAACTGCGCCACTGGGACCTTCGGGGGAGCTACCTATGGGGCCACGAAACGCTGCCCTGGGTGGGAGGGGGGGCGCATGCGAACTGCGCGACTGGGGCCTTAGGTGGAGCTCCCTATGGGGCCACGAAACGCTGCCCTGGGTGGGGGAACCGCATGCGGGCTGTGCCACTGGGACCTTCGGTGGAGCTCCCTATGGGGCTACGAAACGCTGCCCTGGGTGGGGGAACCGCATGCGGGCTGTGCCACTGGGACCTTCGGTGGAGCTCCCTATGGGGCCACGAAACGCTGCCCTGGGTGGGGGAACCGCATGCGGGCTGTGCCACTGGGACCTTCGGTGGAGCTCCCTATGGGGCTACGAAACGCTGCCCTGGGTGGGGGAATGCGGGCTGTGCCACTGGGCCTTCGGTGGAGCTCCCTATGGGGCCACGAAACGCTGCCCTGGGTGGGGGAACCGCATGCGGGCTGTGCCATGGAGTCCCGAACCGCATGCGGGCTGTGCCACTGGGAAGCTCCCTATGGGGCCTTGCCCTGGGTGGGGGAACCGCAGCTCCACTGGGGCCTTCGGTGGAGCTCCCTACACGAACGCTGCCCTGGGTGGGGGAACCGCATGCGGGCTGTGCCACTGGGACCTTCGGTGGAGCTCCCTATGGGGCCACGAAACGCTGCCCTGGGTGGGGGAACCGCATGCGGGCTGTGCCACTGGGTGCCACTGGGACCTTCGGTGGAGCTCCCTATGGGGCTACGAAGCGCTGTCCTGGGTGGGGGAACCGCATGCGGGCTGTGCCACTGGGACCTTCGGTGGAGCTCCCGGCTACGAAACGCTGCCCTGGGTGGAGGAACCGCATGCGGGCTGTGCCACTGGGACCTTCGGTGGAGCTCCCTATGGGGCTACGAAACGTGTGAGGGGTGTGCCGAGAGCAGAGGCAAGGAGGGGGAGGAGGGAGGATGGCGAGGAGGGGGAGGAGGAGAGGAGGTGGGACGCGGGGCGCTGTCTCTTCAAAACGAGGACCCAACACCACAGGATGGCTGGGGAAAAACAACAATGTAACTATATAGACAGAGGGAGAGAGACACACATATTCCTTCGACCGATGAAATTTCACGGAAAAGCCCAGCATGTCACCGTCACCCCCACCCCCCCGGGAACCCGCACACGAACCCCAGACCCCCTCCCCAGCGCCTCGAAGAGGCCTCAAGACGGCCCAAGAGGCCTCCAAGACGGCCCCAGGAGGCCCCCAAGATCGTCCAAGAGGGTCCCGAGACGCACGAAGATCGCTCCACGACGCCCAAGATAGTCCCAATATGGCCCAAGACGCCCCAAGATGCGTCCAGGAGGCTTCCCAAGAGGGCCCAAAGAGGCAAACATGGTTGGGTTTGTTCGAAGGTTCTGGACGGTTCCTTTGGGTCTCGCCTTTTTGGCTTCCCGACGCTCCAAGACAGCCCAAGAGGTCCCCGAAACAGCCCCAAAACAGCCCAAACGGGCCCCAAGACAGCCCTAGATGCCTCTAAGACGGCCCAAATGGCCCCAAGACGGCTCCAAGAGAGAGCCCAGACGGGGGATCCAAACGGACGTTTCGGGCTTCGGCCCCAGGCCCCCAGGAGGCGCCAAGAAAGGCCCTGGAGGTCACCAATAGGCTCCCAAGAGACTCCCAAGAAGCTCCCACGAGGCCCCCACGAGACTCCCAAGAAGCTCCCAAGCGGTCCCCAAGAGCACCCCAAACGGCCCCCAACAGGCACCGAACCAGGCCCCAAGAGGCTTCCAAAATCCTTCCAGGAGGCCCCCAGGAGACCTGCCGCAAATCGCTCCACGACGCCCAAGATAGTCGCAATACGGCCCAAGACGCCCCAAGAGGCGTCCAAGAGGCTTCCCTAGAGGGCCTGAAGAGGCAACAAATGGTTGGCCCGTAGGTTCTGGAAGGTTCCTTTGGGTCTCGCCTTTTCGGCTTCCCGACGCTCCAAGGCAGCCCAAGAGGCCCCCAATATTGCCCCAAGACCGCCCAAGACACCCCCGAAACAGCCCCAAGACGGCCCCAAGGGGCGCCAAGACAGCCCAAGAGGCCTCCAAAACGACCCAAAAGGGCCCCAAGACTGCTCTAGGAGAGAGCCCGAACGGGGGATCAGAAAGGACTTGTCGGGCATTGGCCCCAAGAGGGCCCCAGGAGGCCCCAAGAAAGGCCCTGGAGGTCACCAAGAGGCTCCCAGAGGCCCCCACGAGTCCCCCGAAAAGCTCCTAGGTGGTCCCCAAGATCCCCCCAAACGGCCCCCAACAGGCACCGAACCAGGCCCCAAGAGGCTTCCACAATCCTTCCAGGAGGCCCCCAAGAGACCTGCCACGAGCTCCGAACGAACTGTCCAGATGCTCCCATGAGGAGCCCCGAACGCCTCCAGGACAGCTTCAAGCGCGCTCCAAGGCCTCCCAAGATGGCTTCAACACGACCCCGATGGCCAATTGTCGTCGCCGAGATCGTTCGTCGTCGTCGTCGTCGTCGTCGTCGTCGTCGTCGTCGTCGTCGTCGTCGTCGTTGTCATCGTCGTCGCCGTAGTCGTCCCAAAACGGCCCTAGAGGGCTCCAGGACAGCCCGAGAGGGCGCCTAGATGACCAGAAAAGGGCCCCAAGCGGATCCCCAATCAGGCCTACACAGGCCAACTTCATTAACTTCCCACTGTTTGAGCTTCATCACCTCTCCTGTCGCAATTCTCTGAAGTCATTCCCGAGAAAGTCCACGAAGGTTCCAATGCCACTCTCGACACCAACTCTTCGGAAATCTTCTCCCCTCCTTCCCCTCCTCCTCCTCCTCCTTCTCCTCCTCCTCCTACTCCTCCTCCTCCTCCTCCTCCTCCTACGACTACGACCACGACGACGACGACAACGGCGGCGGCGACGACGACGACGATCTGGACACAAGCATCCATTGGGCGCGTACACTCGCCACCACCAGTCCCAATACAATAAACACCTACAATCCACTGCGCCGTTCTCGGCTTCGCCTCCCTGCAACTTTCTTTTCCGCCCTGTGCGGTGTAGTGCTGCTTATTATGACTGGACTTGTGTTGGCGGGTGTGCGCGCCCAGCCAATGCTTGGATTGGCATGTCTCTTTTCATCCCTCCTTGTTCCATCCCGCTCCTCGACCTCAATCCTCGACCCCCCCTTTGCTGGCGATTTGCCCGCCCTGCAAGAAACACGCGGCGCTGGCTTCTCTCTGAATGTGGGAACCTGGGTGCTGCGTGCTGAGCCCGATAAATTGGATACGGGTATCAAGCTGGACCAAGTATTAAGCTCAACCTCCCTCCTGCTGCACTGCTGTGCTGGCGCGGTTTGCCGCAGGCAACTGGATATCAAAGCAAATTAAAGACACGAGCCTACGTTATTGTAGGTACGCCCATGCTGCAAACACACACATACGCTAGCGTTGATCTCTATATGATCTCTATACATATATACATCTACATACACAAATTATCAACTTTGGCGTCGTCGTTAGGGCCGAGGGCTTACGCCAGAGCGACGTCCACGCTCACCACAGCGGACCCGTCCTCCACGGCGGCACCGAAGTCCCACTCCGCCTGCTCCCTGGGCAGCGTGAACAACGGGCTCGCTGCAAAACTGTGCGCGAAAGGGCCGCGCATGAGCCGGTCCTGGCCGCCCCCGATTGAGATGCGGATCGTCGCGGGCTTGTCGTCGCCCAGCTCGGAGACGCACTTCAGGTGGACCTGGCCGACGCCCCCAGCCTTCTGGAAGGACGCGCTGCCGCGAAAGGTCGCGCTCCTGGGGTAGAGCATGACCACGAACGACGCAGGACTCGAGCCGAGGCCGAAGTCCACTTCGAACGAGGGCGATACCAGCCGCTTGTCCGAGCCCCTCAACTTTCTCTCGTCCACCTGTGCCGTCAAAGTCAAGGGCTCAACAACCTCTACTATCCCTCCACCCGCTTAGGGTCTGGGCCCCAAACGACTTACCAAAGTTTATCCACATACGGCCAGACCTAAGACAGAAAAACACCCTTCAAGAACATGAAACACTCCGCTGGCCAAACTGAAGAACATTCGAGGGTGCCCTCCCCCAGGACACGCAAGAAAGTCCAACAAACACAAACAGTCGCTGGGCGTGCTAAGATCGCGCGCGCGGGGCCGCCCCTGGGGGTCCTCGGATAAAAAATACCCTGGGCGACTCCCGGCAAGGTGGTCTCAAGGATGCCAGAACTCCAGGGGGCGCTTTTCGGCGCCCCCAAGATTGCCCCAGGAGCGCCCCAAGAGACGCCAAATGAGCTTCAAGAGGGCCCAAGAGTCGGGATCAATGGGTGGCACGTTTCAAAATGGCCCGAACATAATCCCAAGATGCCTCAAGATAGGCCCAAGATGGCCCCGGACAAATCCAATACGACCTTCCGCGATCCTCTGACAAGGCCTCAAGAAACACAAACTAACACATTCCAATGGAGAACCGTTTGCTTTTTGCGACCAAGACGGCTCTAGAGATATGAAAGATCGCCCCAAGACGACCCAGGGAGATCCCAGAAGGGCCCCGAGAGGCACCCAAGCGGCCTCTACGAGGCCCCAAGAGGCACCCAAGAGACCCCCGAGAGGCCCCTAGAGACCCCCCAAGATGCCCCCCGGGAGGAGCGGAGACGCCTCCAAGAGCTCCCAAGACACCCCAAGTAGTCCCCTGCAGGCCCCGAGAGACCCCAAAAAGGCTCCCTAAAAACCCTAATGGGGCCCCAAGATGCCCCAAAAGGCTTACGAAACCTCTGCCAGAGGCCCCAGGGGGGCGCAACAATACCACCCAGAAGCCTGCGATACGCTTCAACAATAAACGAATTTCTGTTGAAAAACAATAGTTTTTTTGCACATTCACTGTTTGCGTCTAAAATGGCCGAGAGGCACCCAAGATCACCCCAAGACGACCCAGAAAGCTCTCAAGAGGGCCCCGAGAGACCCCCAAGATGCCTCTAAGAGGCCCCCAAGAGGCCCCCAATATGCCTCCAACAGAAGAGACTCCAAACAGTCCCCTGGAGGCCTCGAGAGGCCCCAAAAGGCCCCCAAGGGGCCCGAAGCGGCCCCAAGAGGTCCCAAGAGGCCTCATGGGGGCCGCAAAAATGTCAACCAGAGGCAATCAAAATACCTCCCAGAGGCCTCCTCATCCTCATCCCCCCTCTTCCTCTTCCTCCTCCTCCTCAACCCTCCTGCTCCTGAGCTCCTCCTCCTCCTCCTCCTCCGCCTCCTTCTCGCTCGCCACGAACACACCAACATATAGCACCAATGATACAATATGGTCCGGCGGAATGACCGAAGCGATGCAATAACATTAGGGTGCCCCCCCCGAACCGACATCGACCTTCTACCTCGTTCCGGCCGTATCTCTGGCTCCACCCCGGCTCAACCAGGTCTGCACTGAATCCCAGGCCGATCCGAGAGCAGTCGGCAAGCCCTTGAGGACTCTGCGGGTCCAGAGCCAGACCCGCGGCCAACTGGCCCCGCCCCACGGGTCCAGCCTGCGGCCTGCGGGCGTCCGCCGCGGCCCCCGTCTCAAGAGGCTCCCCTTTTTAAACGGGTGAGAACGGCAGCTTGGTGTCGCGACGACCCCGGCGTTGGTCTTTGACATCGCATGGATCGTTCAACCTTGAACGATCGGCGGCTTTCCGATCGCCAGATCTTTCCATACTGGCCGATTCCGGGCCACTGCCGGCGTGATTTTTTCAGTGGTTTTCGGCCTCTGGCGGCCCTCGCCGGGCCCCGGGACCGTCGAAAAACAGCTGAGGATGAAACGCCAGCCCTGGGGAAGGGGTCTGGACTTCCGGGGACCCCACAGTGGAAAAACTAAAGATACAAGATCTCTGGGGCTCTGGATTTGAACCCGGCGCCAGGCCCACCGTCCACTGGACGCGCACGAAGCCGTCGACCTCGCTGGACCGCAGCGCCTGCTGCTGCAGACTGCAGGGGCGGAGGCGTGCGGGCGGGCCCTGCTGCTGTGCTGATGTGCGCGGGCGGGCTCTCCGGGCGCGGGAAGCTCCCTCTGCGGCCTCCGCTCGGCCTTCCTGGCGCTTCGGGCCCTCGGCCGCGCCGGCCGCGGGCAGCGCGCTCGAGGGCGGCGCGGCCAGCCAGATCGCCGGCAAGGGCATCTGCAGGGGTGCTTGCGGCAGCTGCAGCGTCTGGGGCTGGCAGAAGATGAGTCCCTGGTCCGCGAGAGCTTCCCAGCGCGGGGTCGGCGTGCCGCAGAACGGCGGCGGCGGCGTCTCCGCCACCTGGTCCTCCGTCGGCTCGTCCATGGCCTCGGAACCGTCGTCCTCGGTGCTGGCATCGCTGCTCCTCTCGTCAGGGCTCTGGAGGTCGCACCCGAGCACGCCGTTCAACTCTGTCTTGCTCCGGGGCCTGCGGCGGTGTGGGGCGGAGCCGTCCTCCAGCTCTATGAATGTATTCTTCACCCGGACCGCGTACGTGCCCTGGCTGTTGAAGCGCGCAATCATCTCTTCCGTGCTCGGTCGCCACGTCCGTGAAGGGCCATCGAGCGCCTCGCTGGAGACAGCGGCCCGCATGTGGGCGCCCGTGGTGTCCTCGTCCCTTTGAGAGGTGAGCACGTCTGAAGGCAGGCCGCGGCCCGCCTCGTCGCCGCAGAACTGGAACGCCAGCGCGGTCCTCGTCCGAGTGCGCCGCTTGCAGGCTGGGGTCTCGCAGTCGACGTCGATGAACGTGTTCCTGATGCGCAGCCTCTGGAGATGCAGGAAGGCATCGTCGCCGCTACTCCCCAGACCTCTCCCAGGGTGCATTCTGACCAGAGTGTCGAGGAGAATCCTGCCGTGGCGACGAGAGTTTTCCAGGACGGGCAGCGGTATCGGTATGTCTTGTCCTCCTCTGAGCCTCTGGAAGTGCGAGCTGGAGTCCGACGAAGGGGAGCTCGACAGAATGCCCTCCGCGTCCACGCTCGTCTCCGCGAACCTGACCTGCTGGATGCTCTTGGGCCTCGCCGTTGCGGGAACGTCGCGCGGGCTGCAGCCTGAGGTGCTCATCGTAGGGTCGTCTGCTGCCAGGCCGGGCAGGCAACTGGCTTGGCCTCGTGGATCTTTAGACCCTGGTGGCTCCTGAACCTCTAACAGGCTGCGAGAGAAGGTGCCGTAGCACGATGGTGTCCTTTTAGGGCTTCGTCCACCAGGACACCCGCCGGCGCGCAGCGAAAGCAGTCAGCGCAATGGCAAGGGATGGGTGGGATGGGGTAGGATCTCAGATGTGCCGCGAGCGCCCCCAGCTTGGCGACCACCCCTCTCCTGCGACCCCTCTTGCGCTCACTGCATGCCGCCCGCCGCTGCGAGGTACCCTGGTTCCCGCAGCCTCTTCCGCTGCCGCCGCTGCCGCGCCCGCTCTCCACCCCCGCCGCTGCTGCCACAACATCCGCTGCCGCTCCTCCCCTCCTCCCCTAGTCCTGCCGCTGCTGCCAGCGCCGCTGCTGCTGCTCCTACCCCTCCTCAGCTCCTGCCCTGCCGATTTGCGCTGCTACTGCTCCTCCCCCTCTCCTCCGCCCCCTCTCGTCCTCCTCCTCCTCCTCCTCCTCCTCCTCCTCCCTCGCTCCCTCTTTATCTTTCCCCTCCGCCCCTTGCTTCCTCGACGTCTTTTCAATGTAAGTAACTCCTCTCTGCCGCACTACCCGACGTGTCCGTAGGCAGGGCTGAGTGCTTCGCTGGGCACATCCTGGCAAGTTACAATCCCGAAGTTTCAAACGTCCAACACGTACACGGGTGGACGGCTTTTTTATGCATTTTCCGAACGATGGCTCTCGTCGTCTTGCTGCCCAGATTCGTTTAACAGTTTCCAGCAATCACACGAACGTAGGCCGGTACATCTTCAAAATGGGAGTCTCGCCTGAGGCTTCCTCGAACGTATTGCCGCAACTGTAGAATTCAACCACGGTTTCACGGATTGAGGGCACATCCTTTTCAAGATGGAGCTATTGCATGAACCTTCGTCTGATTTATAAACAGACGACTGAGCATGTGCAACAGGTGCACAGGTGCAAGGCGGTTCCTTTTCAAAGCGGAGGTGCCGCTGGGCACGTCTGTCAACCGTATGATCCTGCCGTGCCGCATCCCGCATAGTTCGACAGGTGGAATGCAGTTTTCTTCAAAGCGGACCTCCCGCATGAAACGCTGGCCCATGGGGCGCTCGTCTTTCAAGAGTGGCGCGCTTCTCGCAGTGAGAAGGAACGCTTAGGTGGACTACGTAGTGGGAAAGCGACTTGAGACGGAAGGGTTTACTGCAGCATCGTTGAGACATCTTCGGCTTACTCTGGTCCTTCTCTTCCTCCTTCTCCTCCTCACCCTACTTTCTCCCCTTTGCTCTGCCCTCCTCATTCATTATCCTCCCCCTCATTCCGCTCGCCCTCTTTCCCCCTTCCTTCTCCTACTCCTCATCCTCCTCAGTCTCTTGGCTCGCATGGTGAAATCGTTTCGAGGCAGTCCCAGACGAGTCTGGGCGACAAAGACGACCCAATAGACAACGTCGACGCCGCTGAGACCCGGGCCCAGCACGGTAAGTCAACCACCATCATGGCCCAGGAGGGGGGAGGAGAGTCGATGGGGGGGCGAAAGGAGAGAAGGATGAGATCAGCTCAATTCAATCAGCTCCTGGAGGTCGAGTCGTGGGTGGCAGTGGTGCGCCTCTCGTCTGCGACGGAGGAGGAGGAGCCAGAGCGTGGAAAGAGGAGAAGAAAAAGGAGGCATAGTTTAGGAAGCTGATCTTGTACAGCCGAAAATCAGATCGATATAATTAACGTTAAAGAAATCTGGGCCAGCTTCCAAGAGACTTCTCAAACCAACCATGAGCAAATTACTGTTGTTAACGCTGGATGGGGCGAACGTGCTCAAGAAACGGGGCCAGCTTTCCGGCCAGTTGGTTAAGAAGCGCTGGTCCAGCGTTTCGGGAGGTTTCTTAACAAGATGCTCGACTGCACATCCACGGCCGATGACCCCACCTGGATGGGGTGCAAACGCTCAGAGGTCAACTGTGGCTCACGATCTCTTCGCATGGAGTCAATCGCCCCACCGTCTCCAACGCCAATCCTCGCTCTTGCGAGGCCCAGCGACGGGCGTGCCGGTGTGAACCAACCGAAGTGAAACATCCGCAACGGCGCAGGAAGCGCCGGCCTGCCGACAGGCTGCGCGGCGTCCGCGAATCGGGAGCACGCGGCCACCAGAAGCTCCGCGGGCAGCAACAGCAGCGGGCAGCGCCTGCCCGCAGACTCCCGGGCCCGCCGGCGCCACCACCGCCGTCGACGCCCGACGTCGCCGACGGCGACACCGCAGTGGAGGCCGCTGGCGGCGTCGTGCACGACAGCGTCGAGGACGACGTCGTCGACAACGACGCCGTTTCGGAGGCTCTCGGCCGCCACGGGGCCTGCGCGGAGGCGCTGTCGGCGGAGGCCCGTGGCGCTGGCCTGCCAGCAGGTCGCCCGCCCCCCCCCCCCCCCCGCCATGCCGAGGGGACGCCTGCACAGCGGCCCCCTCGGCTTGCGTGAACTCAACGGCGCTTTCCGCCGCGATTTAGGCAAGGAGGATGAGGAGGATGCGCGTAGACGACAGACTGAGGAGGAAAGGGATCTGGAGGATGAGGAGGAAGAGGAGGAGGAGGGGGAGGAGGAGGAGGAGGAGGACGAGGAGGAGGAGGAGGAGGAGGAGCAGGAAAACCAGTGTAAATCCAAGACGCACCAATGATGTTGCAGTAAACCCACCCTCCAATGTCCCTATTGCTTATGTCCTTACAAGAATCGGTTTCGCCCCATTGAAAGACAACCGCATGACAATCCTCAGTTGTGCCAAAACTTAATTCCTGGGACTTCGACGCCGCGAATCAACGTGACTGTTGCGTCCAGACAATCCTAAATTGTGCCAGAACGCAATTCAAGGGATACCAACACCGCGAACCACGCACCCTCTGCATTTAGACCAAGCTGAATCTGTCTTGCGACCGTTCTTGGCATAAGCCATTGTCACAACCTCGGCCACTGCAGGACATACCTACTGCACAATCTGACGCAGGCCCCCGCGCTCTGGTGCAGGCGGCTGCCTTTCCCCCAAGCACCTCGTGGCGGCGCCGAGGGTGGTGGTACTCACGTCCACCGTTGCTTGAGGGAAGAAGATGATGAAGAGGAGGAGAAGGATGATGATGATGAGGAGGAGGGGGAGGAAGAGGAGGACCAGGGTAAACCCAGAAACCATCAACGATACTGCAATACGCCCTGTCTCCACGTTCTCTCTTCATACGCCCCTACAGAATTTCCTTTTCATAAAGAAATGCCCCGTTGGGAGACATGCGTTTGAACATCTGGAACTGTGCTGGAACACCATTCCTGGGGCTTCAACGCCGCGAATCACCGTCACTGTAGCGTCTTGACGATCCTGAATCGTGCCGAAACACCACCCCTGGGACTTCAACACCGCGAATCAACGTGACTGTTGCGCCCGCACATTCTGAAATCGCGCCAACACGCAATTGCTGTGACGTTCACCACGAGAATCCTTGAAGCTGTTGCAAATTCTGAAGACGGATGTGCGCGGCGCTAAGGCGAGAACCGAACTTTGAAGACGGACCGCCCTCCACCCGTGATGACCTGGCAGATTCTGAAAACGAGTGTGCGCGGCGCCAAAGCGAGAACCACATTTTGAAAAAAGCCCGCCCTCCATCCGTGAATCTCTTCCGCCCTCCATCCGTGAATCTCTTCCAAAATTAAAAAAAAACGAATGTGGGTGGCGCTGAGGCGAGACACGCATTTTGACACCCCCTCGCCCTCCACCCGTGAAACTCTTGCAGACTTTTAAAACGTGTGCGCGCGGCGCGAAGGCGAGAACCGCCCTCCATCCGCGCAGCTGTTGCAATCTCTAAGCTTCAAGATCGTGAATGGTGAAAAAAAGCTCAAGCGAAACGCCCGGCCCGCCCTTTCGGATGGCCTCGGGGTGCGACGCTTAGGAGTTACTTATAAGGAACAGGGATGGTGGAAGAGGAGGAAGAGGAAGGAGGAAGGAGGAGGAGGAAAGGGAGGAGGATGAGGAGGAAGAGAAGGATGTGGAGGAGGAGAAGGATGTGGAGGAGGAGGAGGAGGAAGAGCAGGAGGGGGAGGAGGAGGAGGAGGATGAGGATGAGGAGGAAGAGGGGAAGGAGGAGGGGGAGAAGGAGGGGCAGGAGGAGGTGGAGGACAACGACGATGCCAAGGCCAGGGCCCAGCACGACAAGTCGCCCACTGGCAGGGCCCCCGTGTCGCAGCAACGCTCGCAGGAGAACTCCTGGTCGAAGCAGCCCTGCTCGGCGACCTCGGCGCACGCCTCGGGGCCGCTTGCCGTCGTCGTCGTCGTCGTCGTCGTCGTCGTCGTCGTCGTCGTCGTCGTCGTCGTCGTCGTCGTCGTCGTTCTGGGGGAGGGGATGTGGGGCGGAGATGGGAGGAGGGGAGGACACGGTAGAAGAAGGGATGATGATGATGATGATGATGATGATGATGATGATGATGATGATGATGATGATGATGTTGATGACGATGACGATGACGATGACGATGACGATGATGATGATGATGATGATGATGATGATGATGATGATGATGATGATGATGATGATGATGATGATGATGAGAGAAGGGCGATTGGGGGAAGGAGGAGGAGGAGGACGAGGAGGAGGAGGACGAGGAGGGGAGAACAGGGGGGGCAGGGAGAAGGGTGATGAGAAACAAGAGGAAAGATCAGGAGGAGGAGGAGGAGGAGGAGGAGGAGAAGAAAGAGAAGGAGGAAGAAGACGAGGTGGAACGAAGGTTGCCAACGTGTCTGTCAAATGTCACTTTCATCCCCCCGCGCGGCGAGAATATGGACCCCCTGCAGCGATGAGCCCTGCCAAACTTGGGTGACCCGCCAACAAGGTAAGGAGACTTAGTCGGACTCTGCTCTGGCATGTCTGCTATGCGCTGGTGGGCATACTCTGGGGTGCATTCTTATTCCCATACCCCCTGCAGATACGGATAGGAGTAGGGGGCTGATCTTGGTTGGGCGTTTTGCGCAACGGTTTGGAAGACGCTTCGAGGCGACTGGTCGCCTGCAAAACCAAAGAAAACGGAAAACGAATCTACATATACGCAATGAAAACTTGGAGGATGAGAACGTGTCGGAAACCACAACGAGGTTCGAATTGTTTGCGGAGAAGCCGGGTGAAATTCAATCACCAGCCCGCTGCAGGCACCGAACACATGTACATTCAAGTGGACAGTCAATGTAGATCAAAAGCCCGCCGCAGGCGCAGATTTGCGAGTAGTTCGAACATCGATGAAATGTGGAGAAAACAACTGCAGGCGCCGAACTTGTGTACATTCAATCAAGCAATCAATGGGGATCAAGAGCCCGCCGCAGGCGCGGATCTTCTGCTCAGTTCGAACAGCGATGAACTATTGAGGGGGAAGAAAACTCCCGCAGGCGCATCTTTTTGTATGCGCTTCTGCGTAACCTAGACCCGCGCCACCGCTGGCCCACGAAGCGACGGGCCCGCCTTCCCCCCCCCCCAAGTGCCCCCCACAACGCCGCTGCCGACTCCCCCAAGAAGCGACCCTAGCAGCTCTAGAGGAGCAGGGCTCTGCTTCAATTCAGGACCCCCCCTTTCTCCTCGTGTTTGATCCATGCCCTCCGAGCTTGGCCCCCCCTGGAGGGCCCCCCGAGGGCTCCCGCGGGAGGGCCCCTTTAAGACGAGGCCCCGGGAGGGGCTCCCGGGGAGAGGCTCCCGAAGAGGCCCTCCCTCGCCGGACCCCACGGCCCGCCCCCATGGGGCCCCCACGCCCTGCACCCAGCACGTGCCCACGCCTCGCTCTCGCTTCCGCCGGCCCTTCGCCGGCGGGAGAGGAGGGGGAGGAGGAGGTGGAGGAGGAGGAGGAGGGGAGGAGGAGGAGGAGGAGGAGGAGGAGGAGGAGGAGGAGGAGGAGGAGGGGAGGAGGAGGGGGAGGGAGGGGGGGAGGGGGGGGGGGGGGGGGGAGGGGGAGGGGGAGGAGGTTCTGCGGAGGCAGAGGAGCAGGCTTCTCGACCTCTCGAAGCTCCAGGCGTCCTCCGATGCGCCTTTTTTTGAATCCTCGCCCGCAGAGCTCCCGACCCCCTCCCCGGGCAGGCTTTCGTCCTGGATCTGTCCTTGATGGCCCCGGGGCCGGAGAACGGGCCCCAGAGGTCGAAAGCGACCAAAACGCTGGGACTGAACAAATCACATCCTCGGAGCCCCAGGGATCTGGTGGCTTGACTTTTCTAAGACGGACCCCGCCGAAGTCCCGACCCTTTCATCCCGAGCCGTTTCTTGACGGCCCCGGGGCCTGGCGAGGACCTCCGCCCTGATTTTTTGTATGCGTCGGAGGCCTGGGTTGTTCGAGGCCTCCCACATGGGGTCCGAGTAGATGGGGTTGGGGGATGGCGCTGCATCGCCGATGCATCGCTGATGCATCGACGATGCGTCGGCGACCTCGGCGATACATCGGTGACGTCATGCAGAAATTCTTGATCCGGCGTGATCCTCCGACCCCATCTACTCGGAACCCATCTGGGAGGCCTGGAATTCTCACTCGATCCTGTTTTCGTTTTTGTATCATTCGTGATAACGCCCGTGCCCAACGCCGCCCCCCCTCCCCCCATCCTGGTCACGTCACGATCCGCGCCGGCGCCGTCTGAGAATGCACCATTCCGACATAGTCCCAAACAACGCCGGCGCGAATCGTGACGTGACCGGCCTCCTCCCCACCTCCTCCCCTGGTCACGCCCGTTATCGCCAGGGGATGCCTATACATCCAGCGTCTCGATCTTTTCGTGACACGGGCCCCCAACCTCTCGACCACTTCCCCCGGGCCAATTTTTCACCCCGAGTCGTTTTTTTTACGGTCCCGAGGCCCAGTAAGGGCTTCGAGAAGCCCCAAACGATGAAACATCTCGGTCTCGATTTTTTCGAGACGCCAGATGGCTGGGCTGGTCACGCCCATTACTCGGATGACCGCGGGGGTCCATGTACACGATAGTTCACGCCAGATGTCACGTACCTCAGCGTCCACTTGTGCACCCCATCTCCCCTTACAGAGGTCTCCCACATGGGTCCGAGTGGATGGCGTCGTAGGATCGCGCCGCATCGGCGATACATCGGCGATGCATCGGCGATACATCATTGACGTCGGCGACGCATCGGCGACGTCGACGTGAAGCAAAGCGGGATCCACATCGAGCTGCACCGCCGATGCATCGGCGATGCGGAGCGATCCTTCGACCCCACCCTGGCGGACCCCGTCTGGGAGGCCTATCCCCTCAGCGCCCCCCCGCGGTCATCCCAGCACCGCCAGGGGAAACGACAAACAAAAAAAGCGCCCTCCTCCCTCGAGGGCACGGCCCTCGAGGGAGCGCCCCGCGAGCCCACCGCGAGGCGCGGCGCGGATGGGGTCGCCTGCGAGGCCGCCGCGCCGCAGTGGCCGAGCAGGGCGGCAGCCATCAGCCCTCCGCTGGGCGGCGGCGGTCGCCGCCGCCGCCGCCGGTGCACCATGCGGGGGAGGGGGGGAGGGGGGGGTAGGAGGGGGGAAGGGGGGGGGGGGGAGGTTGGAGCGTCACAGAGGGGCCACGTCATATCCTCATCATCGCCGCCGCTGCCGCCATCGACGAGTGCCGCCGAGGGACAGTTCGACAGCAGCCTGCAAGGCAGCACGAGCTAACGAGTTCGAGTCTGCCGAACAGAAGGGGATCGAGGGGGGGGGAGGAGGAGGAGGAGGAGGAGGAGGAGGAGGAGGAGGAGGAGGAGGAGGAGGAGGAGGAGCAGGTGGAGAAGGAGGAGGAGGAGGAGGAGGAGGAGGGTAAGCCCAAGAGTCATCAACGATGTTGGAATGAACCCTCCCTCCAAGCTCCCTCTTCATAGCCCCCTACAGGGGTTCATTTCCACTGAGGGAACTGCCCCGCTGGAAGACAACCGTTCGAAGACCCTGATGCATGCCAAACATCGTTCTCGGGATTCCAACGCCACGGATCAACCTGACTGTTGCGCCTTGACGATCCTTAGTCGTACCAGAACGCCATTCTTGGGACTTCAACACCGCGAACCAACGTAACTGTTACACCCTCACATTCCTGAATCTTTCCACAACGCAATTTCTGGTATGCCGATCATGGGAATCCGTGGGACTCTTGCAATTCAAATTACTCCGACGGAAGAACCCCACATAAGAATCCTCTGGGCGAATCTGGAAAAAGCCATCACCGTCGTCCTCGTGGTTGGTGAGGCGTCCTGGCTGTCTCTTCTGCGTATATTTCCTCTCGCCTTGGCGCGGGCCCCCCTTCCACTCCTTACGTTGTCCCCATCCTCGCCCCCCTGTTTGTTCCGCGCCCCGCCACCTCCTCCCCTTCCTGTTGCATGAGCGCGCATGTCGATGTTCCTCGGCGCCGTCGCCGCCACGGCCAGCACAGGCGCGTTCTCTACAGGTCACGTCGCGCAGCCGTTGGGACAACCCCGCGGGCCAGGCTGTCGGGACAACCCCGCGAGCCGTTGGCGCGCAAGACCAAGCCGTTGGGACAACCCCGCGGGCTTCGAGCGAGGCGCAGCCGCGCTCAGGCGGAAGGCAGCACGAAGCCCAGCTCTGCCGCGAGCTGCTTCGCCTCCGCCCTGGACAAAACCGCTCTCTTGTCGAACTCCAGGAGCGCCTTCCGCAGGGACGCCGGCGGCCCGCACTCCAGGAACTCTCGCGGCGGCGGCCGCAGGATCAGCATGTTCCGCATGCACGTGGCGCGGGAGAACATGACGTAGAGGTGCAGCCACCACTGCTCGTCCGACATGCCCGTGCGGCCAGCGTCCTCGTCTCTCGCGCAGTCGATGGTGACGCCCTTGCGCAGCGTCTGGCCCTGCGACAGCGTGGAGGTCAGGTAGGACGCGTGCGTCAGGGTGAACCCCGAGCGGCGCACGCTGTGCGCCCCCGAGCTCTGCCATGTGAACTCCCTTTCGCTGGGCCTGAACATCAGCAAGCTCCGCGCCCGCGCCTCGGCCTGGCCGTCGTCGTCGGCGCCTTCGGCGCCCTGTCGCAGCACCTCGGCGACCTGAGGAGCCCAAAAACTTCCTTGTTGCATCCAAAGTGTGGCCTGGGAACTGCGTTCTGGCAGCGCGAGAACCCAACATTGACGACAGTTACAGGTTTTGGATGACCTGCTCGGATTACCAACATGATCTGCGGGCCCCATAGGGAGGGGGCTCCCGCCTGAGACTTCCTCGCAGTTCACTCACAGACGAGGCTCCCGCCTGAGACTTCCTCCATATTCAGGCTTGAGGAGCCCAAAAGTGACGACAGTTACAGGGTTCCGATGACCCGCTCGGATTACCAACATGATCTGCGGGCCCCATAGGGAGGGGGCTCCCGCCTGAGACTTCTTCACAATTCACTCAAAGACGAGGCTCCCGCCAGAGACTTCCTCCAAATTCAGGCTTGACGAGCCCAAAAGTGACGACAGTTACAGGGTTCCGATGACCCGCTCGGATTACCAACATGATCTGCGGGCCCCATAGGGAGGGGGCTCCCGCCTGAGACTTCCTCGCAGTTCACTCACAGACGAGGCTCCCGCCTGAGACTTCCTCCATATTCAGGCTTGAGGAGCCCAAAAGTGACGACAGTTACAGGGTTCCGATGACCCGCTCGGATTACCAACATGATCTGCGGGCCCCATAGGGAGGGGGCTCCCGCCTGAGACTTCTTCACAATTCACTCAAAGACGAGGCTCCCGCCAGAGACTTCCTCCAAATTCAGGCTTGACGAGCCCAAAAGTGACGACAGTTACAGGGTTCCGATGACCCGCTCGGATTACCAACATGATCTGCGGGCCCCATAGGGAGGGGGCTCCCGCTTGAGCCTTCCTCAGAATTCACTCACAGACGAGGCTCCCGCCTGAGACTTCCTCCATATTCAGGCTTGAGGAGCCCAAAAGTGACGACAGTTACAGGGTTCCGATGACCCGCTCGGATTACCAACATAATCTGCGGGCCCCATAGGGAGGGAGCTCCCGCCTGAGACTTCCTCCCAATTCACTCACAGACGAGGCTCCCGCCTGAGACTTCCTCCATTTTCAGGCCTGGGGAGCCCAAAAGTGACGACAGTTACAGGGTTCCGATGACCCGCTCGGATTACCAACATGATCTGCGGGCCCCATAGGGAGGGGGCTCCCGCCTGAGACTTCCTCACACTTTACTCAACGATGATGAGGATGAGGATGATGAGTGGTGGTGAAGATGAGTGGTGAAGAGGATGATGATTGATTGTGGGTGGTGGTGGCGATGATGATGTTTGAATGAGGATGATGCCGATACCGATGATGACGATGATGTTCGTGAGCGTGTGAGAGAGTGCTGAGCGTGTGAGAGAACGCGAGTGATGATGCTGATGTTGATGATGAGAGAGTGTGAGTGAGTGTGAGTGTGAGTGAGTGGTGATGATGATGAGTGAGTGAGTGAGTGTGCGAAGGCAGAAGAGGAGAGGGGGTGGGGTGAGTGTTCCTGCGCGGGGTGTGCAGAGAAAACAAGAACCCCACTTTGGATGTGGGGAAAAACGAATGTGCGTTGCGCTAAGGCGAGAACCACATTTTGAAAAGGAACCGCCCTCAATCCGTGAAGCTCTTGCACATGTTTGAAGCGAATGTGCGCGACGCTAAAGCGAGAACCACATTTTGAAAACCACCCGCCCTCAATCCGTGAAGCTCTGGCAAATTAAACATAGAATTTACGCGGCGCTAAGGCGAGAGCCACATTTTGAAAACCACCAGCCCTCAATCCGTGAAACTCTTTCAAATTTTGAAGACGAAGGTGCGTGGCGTTAAAGCGAGAACCACATTTTGAAAACGACCCGCCCTCAATCCGTGAAACTCTGGCAAATTTGGAAAAAGAATGTGTGCGGTGCTAAAGCGAGAGCCATCTTTTGAAAACCGCCCACCCTCAATCCGTGAAGCTCTTTCAAAATTTAAAACGACTATGCGCGGCGCACAGGCGAGAGCCACATTTTGAAAACCACCCGCCCTCCATCTGTGAAGTTGTGGTCCATTTCTAAGCTTCAGGATCATAAATGGTGAGGAAGTCTCAGGCGCAACGCCCGGACCACCCTATAAAAACTGGCCTCGGGGTGCGATAGGGAACAATTATTCACCAGGAAAAAGAATGGAGGGGGAGGGAGGGAGGGAGGGAGGGAGGGAGGAGGAGGAGGAGGAGGAGGAGGAGGAGGAGGAGGAGGAGGAGGTGGAGGGAGGAGGAGGTGGAGGAGGATGGATGAGGAGGTGGAGAAGGAGGGGGAGGAGGAGAAGGAGGAGGAGGAGGAGGAGGAGGAGCAGGTGGAGAAGGAGGAGGTGGGGGAAGTGGGGGGAGGAGGTGGTGGAGGAAAAAGAGGTCGCCATGAGGGAAACGTGTCCTAAAGGAAACAGGTCCTGAAGTTTGTCGCCGTTTTCGGGCTGTCAAGAACGACTCAAGATCCCGGGGCCATCCACGGTCCCCGTATCCTGAATTCTGGGGCACTCCACGGTCCCCGGGGCTGTCAGGAAACGACTCAAGATGAAGAGCTCGTCCTGGGGGAAAGCATAGGATCCAGGACCCGCTTCCCTCAGGACATGTTTCTCCCATGCTAAGGAGGCGGGGGATGGGGGAAGGGGGGGGGATTGTTGCGTGATAGTCGACCCCTAGAATGGGCATATCTTGAAATGCTCCCTGTCGCCATGTTGTAACTTGTGAACCACGTCTACATTGCAGGGCGGGGGGTGGGTGAAAATTGGCGTGCCTCTCCTTGAGAACAAAACTTGCCCCGATGTGTGACCGCCGCGATCGTCGCAGCGACCTTCAAATCCGACCCGGAGGTTTGTGTTCGGGGTCGGGTCTCACGCAGCGAGGGGGGAGTGGGTCACGAGCGGCGGACGGTTTTCACGCGGGAGCACCTCTCCCTGGGAGAAGCTCTTCCTTTCGAGTTCTTTCCTTCCAGACGCCTCGAGCTCACTTGTACCGCGGCTTGCTCCAAGAGGGCCCTGAAACAACCCAAGATCGCTCCAAGACGGCCACGGATGCCTTCAAGCTGGCCTCAGAAACTCTCAAGACGCCCCAAGAGGGCTCCAAGAGGAGCCCCTCGCGGTTTTGATTCGGAGGCGCGATCCCGCGGGTACGCATTCGCACGGTTACGCCCCGCGCGGGGCACCCGCGAACAAAAAATCGCTCCGCTTTCAGGGTCCCGGCCCAAGGTCCCGGCCCGCGAGGCCGAGGCCGCCGGTACACCATGCGCGGGGGGGGGAGGCGGAAAGGGGCGCGGGGGAGGCGGGGAAGGGAGGCAGGGAAGGAGGAAGGGCAGTGCGGCGATGGAGGGGAGGGGAAGAGGGGGAGGAGGGAAGGAGGTTCGTTGGTTCGTTGGTGCCTGGGGAGGCGGGTGCTGGCAAATCTGCAAGCACATGATCCTTTGTGGTCGCCGCTTCGGTGCACTATGCGGGGGCCCAAACTCCCTCGAGTCATGGAAGAATCACGACGGCACGTTTTTGCTCTCCATTTTCGGC